TGGGTTTGAGCTCCATGTCGGGCTCCCTGCTCAGTGGGGAATCTGCTTCTCCCTCTCCCCTCCCCTTGCTTATGCTCTCTCTCTCTCTCTCAAATAAATAAAATCTTAAAAAAAAAAAAAAAGAATTAGCGCCCCTGTCACCCAGCTTCTGTGGAAGGGTAGGAGACTAACTGGAGTAGGTGCTTTGCTCCAAGTTGCAAAGATACTTCTTATCATGAAGATATGAGTCTATTTCTTCTCTGGATGAAGCTAGTCAGCTAGCACAGATGGTCATCCCAGTTCCCATGGTAAAGTTAGGATGACTGTGTGTGACTGTCGAGTTCTCTCATGTGAGGACTAGGTATGTGTCTCTCATGTTATAGATTGTATCTGCTTGGCTGTACAAAAAGGTGAGATTTTTTTTTTTTTTTACCCCATCTCTGCAATCTCTTAGCAGATTGCCTGAGATGTGCACCACATTCTGGCTTCATACCTCATTAATAATAAAAGTGTTTTCCTTCTCTATTATCTCTGTGAGAATCTTTTCTGGATTGGAGATCTTATTTTTAATTTTATTTCCCCAACACTAGGCACTGTGCCCCATTTGGTGGAGGTAAGAATGGCTAAGATACAGTCTCCAAGTTGCTGATAATGTGTAGTAGCAGAATATAAGAAAAGTTAGGGGAAACCGAAGGATTGGATCATTTCAGCTGAGTCTTAAAGCTGGGGGGATCTTCCAGATAGACAGATGTGGTGGTGGGAAGCAGGGGTGGGGGTATTGAAGCCAAAGGCACTGAGAGTCTGAACACAGGGACGTATCCCAGGACCAGGGCTCCGCAAAGGGAGTGAGAGGGAATATACTAGAAACAGACAGAAGTGAGGATGGTGGGATTAGAAGCAGCCGGCATGCTCCTGGAGTCTTCACAGAAGTCAAGTTTAGTCTGTGTGGAGGGTTCAGGAAAAGATGCAGAGAAATGACTGAGAAGGCAGAAGAGAGGTGAACAGAGGGTCCTCAGATTCCACGCTAAGAAACTGTAGGAAAATTATAAGACTTTGAAAGAGGGGGGAAATTACTGCCCTGTGCTAGTGCCCTGGCTAGCACACCCTTCAGAGCTACCTCCCCCTTTCATTGTTTGGCCAATACACAGCCCTGTAAGTTTGGGAGACTGATAGCAATGCGATGATCTTGTTTGCAGAAATAGGAACTGTCTGGTGGAAACGTGCCTGATAACTACCTGCGGTTAGGTACCAGTTTTGCCTGTGTCTGTACATTTCTAGAAGTTTCACATCCATGCCGGGGTCTGCTCATTGGGGTCTGCTCATTGCCATTGCTGAATAGGCAGGCACCGTGTGAACGTTCCACGGTCATCTCCTCCACTGTCGACGCACCCCTGGGTAGCCTCCAGCGTGGAGCCGCTGTGGACAGCACCGTCATGAACATTTGTACATGTGCATCTACATCTCCCACAGCATGCGATGCATTTTTAAAATGCAGATCCAAAAGCAGACCTACTGTGTGAATCCATGCCTCTGATGGTCAAAAACAGGCAACAATAATGCATATTGTTTAGGGATGCGTATCTAGGTGGTGGAAGTCTAAGGATGGGAGGGCAGTCAGGAAGGGACATAAGGGAGACTGCTGGGGGCCAGCCTGGGTCTCTCCTGTAGCCTGGCTGGTAGTTCGGTGGGAAGTTGATTTATAAGGTGTTAACCTGCACACTGTTCTTTGAGTGTGCTGTATTTTCATAGTGAGCATAGGTTTAAGGAAAAGGACAAAGAGGGCCTGCAAATTTTTTTTTTTTAATATTTAAAGATGGGTGCCTGGGTGGCTCAGTCAGTTGATTTTGGCTCAGGTCATGATCTTGGGGTTGTGAGATTGAGACCCACATCAGGCTCTGCTCTCAGTGCGGAGTCTCTTTCTCTCAAATAAAAATAAGTAAGTAAGTAAATAAATAAATAAATAAAGTCCTTGGGGTGCCTGGGTGGCTCAGTGGGTTAAGCCTCTGCCTTCAGCTCAGGTCATGATCTAGGGTCCTGGGATGGAGCCCCGCATCACGCTCTCTGCTCAGCAGGGAGCCTGCTTCCCTTCCTCTCTCTCTGCCTGCCTCTCTGCCTGTTTGTGATCTCTGTCTGTCAAATAAATGGATAAAATCTTTAAAAATAAATAAATAAATAAAATCTTTAAAAATATATATTTATAGAGATGTGCTATAGGTTTTCCTCCCTGCAAAGATACATAACCCAATAGAGTTGCTCTTTGGTCAGATCAGAGGAGGGGGTGGTTGAGGCCCAACTGTGGCACCCCCTGGGATAACCAGGGCATTCTGAGTCTCCACCGAGGGCAGGGAGGATCAGGACTCAGCTGGAAGCCCCAGCTTTGGCACTGCTGGGCAGCCGGTAAGGCAAGTCCTGGGAATCCCTGGACTGTGCTGCTGGGAATCTGAGCAAGTTCCCAGAAAAGCCAGTGGAGACCTGGCCTTGTGCCACTGTGGGCTCTACCTCCTCATAACAGTGACCCGTTGTGGGACAGCAGGAGATCCCGTCCCTGTCCAGCTCCACCGCTGTGGGTGCTGACTCTGGCCATCTTCAAGGGGGAAATCTTGGGGCCTGAGTAAAACAGGGGTAGCCAAGGACTCTGTTCCAGGTCAGAGGTCAGGCCGGGGATGGGGTAGCTGAATGTCCCAGACCCTGAGAAGGGAGGTCTTTGAGGCCAGCACCATACCTGATATTGCTGCCTTTCCACAGCCCGGTCAGGGTGGGAATGAGGGGTCTCCTGGAAGGGGGTGGGGTAGGGAATGGAAGTTGGTTCTGACCTGGCTGGGGTCTGGCATACCCCTTCTCCCTGCCCCTCAGAACCTCATTTGAACGTCATTAGCAGTCTTAAGGCGCACAAACCTGATCTTCAGCTTCCCACAATGACAACACATATTGTTTACTGAGCACCAAATATGGCCAGACAGTGTGGTCAGAACTATACACACCTTGTCCTTAATACTCACAGATACAAAACCTATACCCATCACTTGGCTTCAGCGATGATCAACTCATGGCCAGTATTCATGTTAAAGCAGTACCTGAGGCTTACCAAGGCAAGGGCAGAGCCAGAGCTTCATTATAAGCCAAGCTGCCTCTCCCACCCACAGAGAAAGTGACAATTGTGGAGCCTGGCTTCAGGGATGGTCGGCATGTGGCTGACACGCAGTTGGAGCTCCCTTCTGGGGGTATGAGCAAGACCCACATCCTGCCCGGCTCTTGAAACGTGTGAAATGAAGCCAAGCTAAGAGACAAGCAAAGGGTGTAAATCCAAACCTGTGCACGTACACATGAATACGCGCACATGCACACACTCACACAGGGCTGCCCCGTTGTCACCTGGCTCCTCTTACAGAGCCCAGTCCCCTCCCAGGCACTCCCAGGCATGGGCTGAGCTGCCCCTATGCAACCCTGGAAGCCCGCAGAAGCTTCGTGGGCTTTCTTTCTTTCTTTCCTTTTGTCCTTTCTTGTTTTTTCCCTTCCTTCCTTCTCTTTCTTTTCTTCCTTCCTTTCTTTTCTTTTCCTTCCTTCCTCCCTCCCTCCCTCCCTTCCTTCCTTCCTTTACTTTCTTTCTCTTCTGATTCTATTTATTTATTTGAGAGAGGAGAGAGAGAGCACACTGAGCAGGGGCAGGAACAGATGGGGAGGGAGAGGGACAAGCAGACTGCGCTGAGTTTGGAGCCCAACGCTAGGCTGGATCTCAGCATCCTGAGATATGACCTGGGTCCAAACCAAGAGTCAGAGGCTCAAGCGACTGAGCCCTGGGTGGGGAGGCATCAGGGGAAACTTTCTAGTCTGTTTCTCATACAATCCAGTCTTCTTTTCTCCTTTAGGTTCAACTTTTCTACCGTGAGTTTTCTACTTGAAGTATTTGAAAAAGAAAATAACCTTTTTGGGGGGAGAGGAAATCCTAAAACTCCCTGGCCTTTCTCTGAGTGCAGCTGAGAACCTACGGAGCAGAGACCGCAGAATCTGTGAGGCCGAGATGGCCAGATAAAGGTCAAGCAAGGAGAAATGACAGGTCTCATCAGTCCTCTCCTGGGACTGCCATGTAGTTCCTCCTCTGGTGCACCCACGAGTGCACACCATTTCTGAGCATGTGTCTGCTCAGAATCCCTGAGACTGTTTTCCCACAACACAAACCCTCTGAGCCTGAGTCCTCACAATGATTATAACAGCATATATTAATAGTGAACATCGAATTTGTGTTGGCAATTTATTCATTAAAATAGTTGTCATTGTAAATGCAATAGGTGCTCTTTATAAAAAGTGTAGGTGGCACCCAAAAATACCCAACAACAACAACAACAACAACAACAAAGGGAAAAAGAGAAACAACACAGAAGCAAACGATCTACCATCCAACGTCCCAGAGTCAAACACAGCTGGCTTTCACCCGTTCCCGTGCGATCACTCTGCATGTTTTTATATTTATATCAAGTGTAATTATATTTATATGTAAGATGGAAGTGCTATATTAAACATTTTTTATTATAAAAATTTCAAACATACACAAAAGCAGAGAGCACCCCCAGGCACGCCCCACAGAGCTCCAATTAGCGGCTCATGGTCACGATTTCATCTATTCCCCACCCCGTGCTCTGCTAGATTATTTCAAAATAAATCCAGGTGTCGTACCATTTCACCCACAAACAGGTAAGTGTGAGTCTCCAAAAGGATAAGAACTCTTTTTAAACAAAATAATAACTTTGTTACTATTTCTCACTTTAAGAAGTTACAAAATCCTCACTCTCACCTATATCCAATTTTAAATGATGCTTCTTTCAGGTAATACCTACCCATGAGCAGTTCTCCATGCCCCTAACATGTAATCACCAATATTTCTAAAGGTATTTTGCATCGAAAAATCACCGATGGTCTCATCACCCGCTGCCTGCCACTCCTCAAGCCCCTTGGACGTTAGGCTGCAACAGCTTTGGGAAAATGGTCTCTCTTAGCATGGAAAGCAAACCAGCATCCATACCCGCCATGACCTCTGGCCACCATGCCCCGCCCCGCGAGCCCACAGGTGCTGGCAAGTTGTCTGTTCCTACCTGGGCAGGGCCTGGGAAGGAAACCTCCGGACGTGACAATCAACCACTCGGTCCCAAGGTCCCTGCCTCTGTCACAGAGTATTTCCTTTTCCCTCCCTCTGAGGGCATCTTTATTTGCAAAGTTAGCCAATAGTAGCGGTTTCCTGTGAGGTAGACTATCTTTAGATGTTGCCGCAGGCAGGCTCAGAACCTCCCAGGCTGAAGGCCAGCTGATGGCAGGAGGGTTTAAACTCACAAGCCTGGAGGACAGAGCTGGAGGCAGACCCACCAGGCAAGCAACAATGTGGAGGCTGTGTTATTTGCCCCCTTTGGGGGAGGGCAGAGAATAGTGTAGTTCTCAGGAGCCACTAACACCCACTGAACCTCAGTTTTCCCACCTGTAAAAAGGGGTCCACAGCACTCACCAGGCTGCACTGGGGTGCACAGTAAATGAACTGCAGCTTCTCTCTTCAGAGGACATATTTGGGAGCTTACTAGAAATGCAGCACCTCAGCCCCGCCACTGAATGAGACCCTGCATTTTGATGAAATTCTTAGGAAATTGATCAGTGCATGGATTTTGAGAAGGCTTGGCACAAAAAGGCTTTAGTGAGTACCTGGCACCTGGTAGGAGCTTCCAAATTTTTTACTCCTCACCTTCTTCCTCCAGGGCGTTTAGCACCTCCCTCTACCCTGTGGTCAAGCCTAAGGTATATGTTTCCAGGGCAAACTGGTGCAGGCTCGTTCCCCACTGTCTCCCACAGCCCGTGCTACTACGGCTGGATGGGGAGCAGCTGGACCCGACTCTTCTAGGCCAAGCTCCTGCTCCTGGCCCTGGCAGGCCTGCTGCCCCTCTGCAGCCCAAACCTCCACCACCACGGCCTCACTGACTTCCCACCGCTTCCTTACCCACCTGGCTCCCCTACAAGGCAAACACTACTGATGGCCCCCTCCGCTGGGGCCCACCCTGGGTCTAGCACCCCCAGCACACCTTTATTAAAGGGTCAGGGACCCCTCTAAGGCCCTCCTGGCTCCCTGCTGCCTGTCTTGCAGCCTGCGCGCCAGCACCCCTGTCGTCCTCATAGCTGTGTCAAAGCAGGCAGGGCTGTCCTGTGTGCTCCCCACCTGGCCTCCTCTGTCCTGGTGGCCAGGACAGAGCTGTGAGTGGGACTGCAGTGGCCCAGGCTGGGTGACCTGCTGGCGTTAGAGGAAGTCTGCAGCCGGTTTCCCTTCCTTGTTTCCCTCTGGCCAGGAGCCTGTAGTACCCCTCCCCCATGCCTGCCCTTCCTCATCTCTACCCCACAGCCACCTGTCCCAGGGCCCACCCAGGGGGGCCAGCTGCTTCAGCCTCCCTTTGCCTGCCTGAGACTCCCCTCCTGCTTCTCTGAATACTCCTCTCTGGGATCCTGCCAAGACTCTCTCTCTTCCAGTCACACAGTCTTCCTGGACAACCTCGTCCACTGCACGTCATTGACCACCTCTCTGTTCTGATTCCCTGTCTCCAGCCAGGGCCTGAATAACCTCCAGTGCCCATCTGTGTCCTTCACACTTCTTGCCCTTTACCCCATTGACCATTCTCCTCCATCTGGAAGCCAGAGAGCGCTTTCCCAAGTGCAAATGCCTGCCTAAACCCTCCGGAGTTTCCCCTCACTGTGAGTTTCAGTCCCAGGTTTGTAAGTGTGGCCTTGGCATGATCCCACCCCTTTGGATGTCCTAACCTATTATAACCACCCCACCCCCCACCCCAAGTGCATGTGTGGGCTGCTCTTCCCTTCCGACCTTACCAGGCTGGGGGACCTGGCTTTGATTTCACTTCCTTGATGCTAACAGGCTTTTGCTGCCCTGTAGGAGCTGGTGGCAGAAAGGACTGTGACTCGCAGCCCAACGAGTGGCATGCTTGTGCCGGTTCCCTGGCCTCCCAAATTCCAGAGGGACGTGCATGGTGACCCAGATGGACGCTTGCACACGAAGGAGGTTGCATGATGAGAGAGGAACCGTGAGCTTGAGGAGCACACCATTTTATAGCCGGCAGTGAGCAAGCCTGCTCAATGGCCCTGACTGAGGGAGACATGACCTTGTCCCTCAAGCTGCAGACACCACCCTGAGAAATGGGCCAAGGAAAGGGCAGCTGGGGCTCTGCATTCTCGGTGTCCTCTGAGAGCTGGGAGATCAACAACCTTCCCACTCAGGCCACACCTCTGCCGACCTCTGAAAAGGCCCCTCAGGCTCTACCCTGGGGACCTCCTCTCCCTGGACCCCTGTTCCTCCCTCCCCAGTGCTCCCATGCTGTGCTGCCTTGGGCCCGTCTTCATCTCTCACTTTCACAGCCCCTTGGCTTCACCCTTTGTCTGAGCTGTTCCTTGTGAAGGGTAACAGCACACGAGCACCAAATATGCTGCATGGCTATATCCATTATTGTGAGCTGTAGGTCCTCTAGAAGTAGCAAATACAGGGGGAGGCATTCTCTGACCTCTCCCTATCTGCCTCAAGACAGAGCCTCTCAAAGGAGCTTGGTTGTCACAGATCTTTCCCCCAGGAGCTTCAAGAACCAGGGATCATTGACATTTGTCACAAGAGAAGGAACTGTAAGTCCCCACCACACCCAGACACACTTGGTCACAAACCAACATACCTCCCATCTGTTCTTCTAAGGACCTGTTCCTTTTCCTACTAATCACTTACTCTCTCAGAAGAACAACCCCTACCCTTTCCTTAGGAAGCTGGTATTTAAGTCTAAATTCTAAGCCACTCTGAGGAGACACTCATTTTTCTCTGCCTACCTCCCATGTATATACAACACATATGTGTTAATAACCTTTTTGTGTTTCTTTTGGCAATCTGTCTTTTATGACAACAGCCTCAGCCTAGAACTCAGAAGGGTAGAGGGAAAATTATTTTTCTTCCCTGACAGTTTCTGGTGACCCAGATGGGATCTCTGAGACACCTTACAGATGGGATTCTGGGAACACCAGCAAAAGCCAGTGAAGGATAAGAATTATTTGTCCTCCCCATACTTGCTTGTACGTTCTTGTCACCCTCGGTTTCTCTTCCAGTTGAGATGGTAACTGCCTACCTACTGTAGCTTGATTTCTGTTGGGTGGAGGGGGAAGAGGTGCTGGGTGGGCTTCCAGGTAAGAGAAGCCGTGGGGATGGTGGGGACAGCCTGGCAGTGATGGGCACAGACACACAGACACACAAGGTAGGCGAGGACTGGAGACTTGGTTTGAATAAAGCTCTGTGGGAGAGACCCGGCAAAAGGAAATGAGGATACAATTATGCCTTGAAGGCCAGGCTAAGATGTTCCTACTTCATGCTACAGGCTGAGGGGTGGCTTTGGGGATAAGCACAGCAAACCTTTACACAGAATAGCAGACGTGCTAGGCAGCGAGCTAAGTCCTCTGTGCACATGAACTCACGTAACCCAGTGACCCAGAAGCACCTGTGACACACGTGAGGACACTGAGGGGAGGAGAGGTGACGAAACTTGTCCAAGGCCACAAAGCTCATAAGTGGCAGAGCCAGGATCGTATTTAGCCTTTAGGTTTCCTGGTCTGTGCCATGTATCCTCGGGGGAGGGGCAGCAGGGGGGTGGCGGGGTGACATCGTTTCCCAGGGGGTGACCATTGATTCTTGCGCTTTGTGTCTACTGTGCAGATACACACACAGTCCATAAACAGATAGCATATCTGTGTTGTAAAAATCTCATGAGAGGTGCTTAAGAATACAATGTGTAAAAAGACCTCCGCGGAGGACGATCATGGAAACAGGTTGAGAAACTGTTGTCTCTGCTCTTAATCAGACCACAGAGCTGTGTCTCGTGCTTAAAACCTGGGGTCAGGGAGTAACTGGACAAAAGCGACATCTTCAGAAAAACACACCAGTGGTTGAGTGGACGTAAGGGGAAGCTGCTGGAGTAGAAGGGAAGGAGCAGAGGCATGTCAGGTGCTCCTTCGTGCTGGGCACTGGGCTGCGTACATGGCCCGTGAGGTCTCCTTTTGATCTTCATCTTCATGTTTTCAGATGAGGAAATGAGACAGGAGCAGTGAGTCCTCGGCCACCAGGGGGAAAAGGGCCGGAGCAGGACTGGAACTTCCTGATTCTGAATGCAAGCAGGGAGAGGGCCTTCGAGGGGGTGGACGGCAGGGGAGGGTGACTTGGCTAATGGAGAGTGCACAGAATCGGTGAAAGATCTGGCCGATTTACGAACAATGAGCAGCCGAGCAGCTGGGGGTCATTTTGCAGCCAAGAAGTCAGTATCATTATACAAGAAGGTTTCAGAAGCAGGAGGAGGTTCCTAGTTCTTCTTACCCCCAAAGAGAAGAAGGACCAGATGTAGAAAATTGCGAAGGTAAAAAGAAGTAAAACTAAACAAAAGAAATGCTATTTACTTGTTCCCTCTGCCTTAATGTTTACATTTTAACACCACTGGTTGCAATTTCTTAGGCTTATTTCATAATTTCTGCTTAACAGGGACAAAAACATTCCTCTCTGGTGCAAAGGTAATGACCTAGCCAAGAGCTCCAGGAGCATTTTGGATAAAATATTTTTAGACATCATTAAATTATTTTCTTGGAAATATTAAAAAATTCCACTCTGCTCCCTCCAAACATGGTGTGTTCCCAGCCATGTAAGACTTATTAATGGAGAATAATGGAAATGAACAAATGAACTGCCAACTTGAGTTATAAAAATATTTCCATGTTAATCCTTTGAACTACATAAGGAATTCAAATTAATTCCTAGGTGTCTTTATATTGCTTTCTGATGTTCTGGAGGGTCTGCTTTAGGGAAAAAAATACAATAGCTGCCTTTCACAGGCAATGCTCTTAAACAGTTTTTTCATTGCTGCTGTTGGGATGGTCTAGGGCTCAACATCCAGGGGCAATAAAGTAGAGCTCCTGGGTCCCCATCATTGACCACCTATTGAAAATAAGCTGTTGGGATGCCTGGGTGGCTCAGTTGGTTAGGCATTTGTCTGCTTTCCGGGCAGGTCATGATCCCGGGGTCCAGGGATGCCACTCAGTGGGGAGCCTGCTTCTCCCTCTCCTTCTGCCTGCTGCTCCCTCTGCTTGCTCGCTCTCTCCCTCTCCCTGTCAAATAAATAAATAAAACCTTA